AAATTTATGGCGTGATCGTCTTAGTTAGGACCCTTTTTTTACGTTGTATTTGTATAGTAACTTAGTTCTTTTAGGTGTATCTTGGAAGAATGAATATTCACGAGAGCAATCGAAAGCTGTTGGTAGAGTCTTATAAGCTAAAGAACCCCGTTCACGAAGACAGAGCTCAAAAAGGTTAAGAACAATAAATTGTCCCTATTCCACTTGTATCTGGTTCACAACAGTCAATTCCTTATTAATTAATCCCTTCCCGCTTGGAAAAGGCTCACAATATTTATATCAAATACCAGTTACAAGGGCTTCGCTCTCCCACATTTTAAAAAAAAATGTGGAGGAGGTACACGGCCCCACACACGCCGCGCACGGTGAGCGCCAACCATTTTAATGCGCTCCCCCCGAAGGGTACGCAAAGTTGGGAACTGGACCGTAGTCCACAGCAAAATAACTGGCGAACCAGTAAAAGAGGACTTGGCCCCTTGATAGTGCGTAAGCACAAACATCGACCGAAGTCGCGCATGTCAATGCGTGTAAACGCCATACAGAATACGATCAAATCCAGCCACAGTGAAATGTACGTCACACGGGTTAGGCAACAATCGGCACACTGACCATAAAAAGCCCTCCGTGAGCGCCACCACCTGCCAGACCGCCGTTTCTGCAGACGTGATGTAAGTGTAAGGCATCACCACCAATTGCATGGTCAGCACGGCCAATTGGCCGCAGAGCGTGTCATGAGTCTACCGCTCACCTCAAGGGAATGGGGTCCCACGTTGCGCGGCTTTCGGCCGCAGCCTTGAGAGCTTCCTCAGATTCTCCCTCCAGCTACCACCCGCATGAGGTCAACACATATGCTCCACCAACCAATACAATGGCAGATATAGCCAATAGGCAGTTATAAGATAATATTAATAATTCGCCATCAGAAAGGGTTTGTGTCACTGACGTTGAGTATATGCATTTTTCGATCATGTTTGTCTCACCCACCAACAAGTTGCCTTCAATCTCTCAAAGGTGGGAACTTTATAGAGATATATTATTAAGTTGTTATATAAAACATCATGGAGGGCAGACAGTCTGCAGCCCCGCAATGAAGGGACCCGACTTGGGCAAAGCTATTTAGGTTGTGAGTCAAACCAAGACGCAGAGAGCGCCATTGAGAATAGCGACCCGCCAAACAACCATCGTAGAGACGCAATGCTACAGAATGCAACAAGCATCAATACGACTATCGTCGGGCTTACACCATCCCAAGGTCCCCCATACAGTCCCAGCAGACATCACCACCCGCATACCTCCATCGACCAGAACCACAAGATGCATCGAATCAGGTGCAGCACACCCGCAGATCCATCACAAGACACAATACTGCAAGTAGCAGTAAGCATCAATGCAACTATCATACGGATGGCGCCCCCTCACAACACACCCACATGATCCCTATCGACTTTGGTAACAAAATTTGATAATGTTGTTAACTAAAAATACCACCAACGTATCATAGTAGTACGGTACTAAGACGTCAGTAGCCAATACTCCACGTATCATAGCGCTATTGCACTAAGACATGAAGTTGAGTATGCTTGCTGCACTTAAAAGTACTACCAAACACACTCACCCTAATCCGAAAGATAGCCGACGTATCATAACGCTATGCGCTAAGACGCCGCCCACAAACGGTAGGGGTGTGCGATGTCCACGGGCAAGTCGTATTGCTACAACAAACCCGCTTACCACCGGCACTAAGATGATATGTCTAGGACACATCGGTTAGTGAGTCCAAGTTTACCTCGGTCTCAGAGGCTGCGAAGCAACCTACACGCCACTATAATAATCCTTTTTAAGTCCCATTTCTTTCAATATAATGCTTTTACATATTTGAGACCTTCCACATATTTGCTTTATTTCATAGACCATACTACTGTATGTCTTATTCATATGGGACTTCAAGTCATAACTCTGCTATCATAATGCTTATGCATCATAGAGACCTTCTATATTAATGCTTTGGTTCGTCAGACCTTACTATGTTAAGTCCCTAATATAGGACTAGTCATTGTGCAACCTTAGTACTAGCAGTCGGTCAGCCGACCACCCCATATATATGTACAACCTTGGGTATGTGTCTCCGACAACGCCCCAATATAAGGGAACATTACAAGAACACGTTCATTAACTTAGAAATTTTCCAATTATTACACGAACACCTTCATCAACTTAGAAAATTTTAATCCATTTTTTCTATTATATTACAAATGTTATTTATCTTTGTTATTGCAATATAATCGCCTTGTATTTATATGATTTGATACATTTTGAACATTTTAAGCAGGTTTTTAATAAATTAAGAGATTTTTAGAGACATTTTATGCGTTTACTAATATTATAATATTCAATATTCCAAATGGATATTTTTGAACTTTATGCTTATTATTTGTATTTTATTGTTTAAATTATAATTTCTAAGACATTTTTAAATGTCTGTATAATGAATTTAATTATTATTTATTAATAATAATTATGAGGCGTCACAATCCACCCCCAAATTTTATGTTAATGATCCACATAGTGGAGTTGTTAATATAAAATTTTAGTATTTTGAGAGCATATACACTACACTCAAATAATTGTTTATATATCTGTTCTTTCCTCTTTTAATCTGTTACAATACGGCATATGTTATCAAATCCCCCTGCCCCAGAGAATGGCCGCCACCAACACCCCTCCAACCACAATTATCACAATGTGATAATACCATAATTCAAGTTATTGTATATCGTGTTGTTAATAAAGTTTGCAGTCAATTGTCGATTTCTTATTTTATTAATTTATCTTTAAATCTTTGAAACATTATTTCGATAGTGTCACACTTTATGTGCATACAATCCAGTTTGATATTTGTTGAGGTCAGTTCGATACCACATAGGATAAATGTGTTTGAGCCATTCGCCCTTACCCAACTCCCATATTTATTTAATAAAAATGATTACAAAATCATCTTACGATCTATATTTACAACTCTTCATTATATATTAATAACGTTCTTCTATCATATAACAAATCTCTTGCTCATAACTTTAATAATTTTAGACCTTTAACTTAAACAATTATTTCCATGGGCCACTCACAAAACCCTTTTATGTTACAATATTTATTTAATTACTCTAATTTATACAAAAAGAAATTATTATTTAAAATATTTTAATAAGTGAATAGCTTTAAAAATTCCTCTAATTTCGTTTGTCTCTGGATTTGCTAAGGTATATACATTGTCAAATGGTACGGCTGCTATTACATAAGGTCCTTCATATGCCAAATTGAACTTACTCATAACTTTATTATCAGCGTCTGATCTACTAGATCTTGAAATTTTTACTAAGTCACCAATATTATATTTTATTAATCTATTTCGCTTATCAAATTTTGTGTTTCTTATTCGACTTGCCTCTTTTAAATTTTTACGCACTTGTTGTCTAATTTGTCCGACATTATGTTTGTCTTTACTTTTGGAAATTACTTTGTCAAAAGACATCTCATTAGACTCACCATAAAGAATCTCACAAGGCGTGAAGCCTGTACTATTGTGATAAGAATTATTATACAATTCTTCTAATTTCGGCAATATTAACGCCCAATCTTTGTGGTTAGTATGACAAAGCGTCCTAAATAATCTGCTCATCTCTTTATTTACTCGCTCTGTTGTATTTGGTCTAGGATTTCTAACTGTGGTATATATTGGCTTTATATTTAATTCACTCATTGATTGTTTCCAGTGATTACTTACGAACTGTTTTCCATTATCTGTCATTATAGCCTTGGGCTTTATAATCTCAACAAAATGCTTTACTTTTGTTACAACAGACTTTGCTATTGACTGTTTTAAAGGATATAATTTGATAAATTTACTGAATGAATCTTGAATGACAAATATGAAAGTGTACCCAAAGGTACCTGATACAAGTGGTCCATATAAGTCTGCCATGACTATATCGCCAATGTTTTCTGTTATTATAGATTTGCAGGGACCCACATATGTTATATTGCTTTTCTTAGATAACTGACATAAATGACAAGGCCTTAATTGGTTTTTAATATCTTTTGTTAAACCTTTCCAAAAGAATCTGTCTCTCACATATTTAATTACCTTATAGGGTCCTTGATGACCCATTTCGACATGCACTTGATTTATAATATCTTGTCTCAATGCTTTAGGTAAATATATTACTTCTTGTAAATTCGTTTTGTAATATAATACATCATTTTTCAAACTATATCTTTTAAATTTATTGTTTTGTTTTATTATGAAGGTATTTAATGTTTTTAACTTTTCAATAATAGCCAACGACTCTGAATCTTGTAATTGATATACTGTTAAGGATTTTAATTTTTCTATCAACTCAATATTCGGTTCGCTCTCTGTGTAAGCAATTTCTAAACTATTATTTTTATCCTCTTGTATTAAATCGCCATCAGGAGGATAACGTGATAGCACATCTGCAACAATATTACATCTACCCGATATATGCTGTACTTCATAATTAAATTGTTCTATATACAAAATCCATCGGGTTACTCTACCATTGAATAACTTCATATTATTAATAAACAATAATGCTTTATGATCAGTTAGTATTATTACTTTACTGCCCCGCAAATATGTTTCAAATTTCTTTAGGCAGCTTATTACAGCATAAAACTCTTGTTCAGTAACAGACCAGTTTAATTCGGGGCCTTTTAAGGCTTTACTATGATAGCCTAAAATTCTCATTTCATTATTATCATCTATCTGATATAGTACTCCGGCCATACCCACACCGGAACAATCTGTTTGTAAATAATACGGCTTATTAAAGTCTGGATGATGCAATTGTATTGTATTAATAAATTGTTGTTTTATAAAATCAAATGCCTTCTGTTCTTTACCACTCCATTTGAACTTTCGTCCCTTTTTAAGTAATTCACAGAGCGGTATTATGCTCTCGCTGTAATTTGGTATAAACCTTCTAAAAATTGCATAGACCTAAAAAGGCCCTTAATTGTTTAATCTTTTTAGGTGCTGGAAACTCTTGGATCGCTCGAATCTTATCGGGATCTGTCTTTATGCCTTCTGTTGAAATTATAAAACCCAGCATTTTAATTTCTTTACAAATAAATTCACATTTCTGCAAGTTACACGTTAAGCCAGCTTTGTTCAATTTACTTAAAACAATATCAATGTGCTCCAAATGTTTATCTAACGTTCCTGTTGTAATAATGGCTAGATCATCTAAATAGTTCACACAAAATTCTTGGACTTCTGGTCCTAATATTAAATTCATGGCTCTGCTAAAGCTTCCTACTGATGTTTTTAATCCTTGCGGTAAAACATTATATACATATGACTTTCCATTGAATGTGAATCCAGTATATTTTCTACCATCTTTATTTATCGGAATTTGAAAATATGCATTATTTAAGTCAATGGTAGTGATATAATTCGCTCCGTGAAATGAATTCAAAACATCTAATTGTATAGGTGGTTTCTCTGTTTCTGCAACCATTTTCTTATTTATGCTTCTGGCATCAAGCAGTACTCTAATTGAGCCGTCTTTTTTAAGAGTGAATGTCAATGGACTACTGTAAGGCGTTGATGTCCTTGTGATGATACCAGCTTGTTCCATTTCATTTAACTTTTCTTCCATTTTCGCTCTATATGCATATGGAATGGGATAGGACCTAGTAACTATAGGTTCATCATCGATCATTTCAATTTTATGCTCATAGCAATTGGCTCTTCCCAATTTGCTCGAAAACATATTCTTATGCTTTTCCAAAACCTTACTAAGTTTTGCCCTTTCAGAAACCTTCAATGTAGATCCTATTTTTATATTTATTAAGGGATCATCGGTACATTGTTTGATGCAGTTATTATGTAATACAGATTTATTATTATATTTGAAAGGTATAAAGTAGTCTTTGTTTTTCACTTTAAATTCTATTCCAACAGTAGTATTTCTCAAATCAATCAATATTTTATTTCTCTTGAGCCAGTCAAAGCCTAATATTAAAGGTCTTATTAAATTACCTACAATTAAAGTTTGTGTTTCAAAGACTACTTCATCTATCTTTATGGGCAATATGATCATCTGTTGTATTTTTGTGCTGCGCTGCCCAACAGCACCTTTTATTTGCATTGCTTTAACTGGCATTATTGATATTTTACGATTATTTTCTTTAATTTGTAAATATAAACTTTCTGAAATGCATGTAACATCGCTCCCAGTGTCGAGGAGCGCGTCTATTTCTTTGTCAAATATTGAAACTTTAATTTCAGATCTCATATTCCCTATAAATTCCCTTTGATATTTATCTTCGTCTTCCTCGAAGACGGTTTGCACGAATAACTCCGTTATGGGCAAGTCCGACCTGGCTTTTAAGGTGTTTAATATGCTATTTACATTGTCGTTATAACCAAGGCCTTCTCTGTTAAAATTTGCTTTTAAAGTAATAGGTTTTCGCAACCCTCTATTGTTTTTACCCAATGTTTGACCAGGTCGCCAACCCAGTTTTAATAACATGTTTAATGCTTTGTTCCCTTTTACATTGTAAGGGGTCGAATCGGGAACTAGTTCGACCTCTACAGCTCTAAATTTGGCTCAGGGGCCGTAACATCAGGTTGGTCATTAGTGAAATGTATTTCATGTACTTCATTAACCTTCTTTTTTCCCTCTTCGGGTTTACGCCATGTTTTGTATGATCGTTGTATTTCTTTATGTTTTTGCTCCGTATTATTATTAAACTTCCTCCTTTTCTCATTATAGTAAGGTTCACGACCTTCATCTTGTTTGTCTATGTCATCTAAGTTTCTTAAGAAATCTGTCGTGTCTATTATTGTCTCAATTTTAGCTATTCTCCATAATTGCTGCACAGTTTTAGGATAATGTCTGATGACATCTGTTACTAATTGTTTTTCAGGTATCGGATATGATAATGTTTGTGCCTTCTCAACCACATAAAGAAAATAACTAACCATGGTGGGGTGTGTACTTCTATTCCATTTATTTTGCACAAGGAATCTCTTTACTTTATTTTGTTCTTCTTCACCCCAAAACACTCTTAGGAAGTCAGCTTTAAAATCATCAAAAGTTGTCCAATGCACATTATTAATGCGAGCCCAATACTTGGCTTCACCTACTAAGCACTCTTGTGCAATCGAAATTTCGAGACCATTAGATGGAACTTTCTTTAAATAATTGGTAAGATCTTCCAAAAATGATACTGGATGAGTATTTCCATTTCCAAATTTCGGCTTTTCTATTGTTACATTATGTACATTATATACAATATTTTGTCTAGGATCATTTACATGAGAGATGCTCGCCCCGGACACCTCTCCTTGATTTATTTTAATTTGGTAATCTTTCGTTTGGTTAATAAATTTTTCCTCAAGATCCTTTATTTTAACCTCAAAGGTTTTCACTACATTCTTAATTAATTTCTGAAGCATTTTCATCTCATCTTTAGACTTAGCCTTAATTGAGGTTGATTTTTTTCTTATTTTTAGCCATTTTTAATTTTTATTACCACTTTTTTTTTTTTTTTTTTTTTTTTTACACCTGTTGTGTCCTTCACTTAGTTTAATTGAGTCTTTCCACTTATTTCACTTTATAATATATAGTATTGCAGTGTTTCTTTTTTTTTTTTTTTTACACCCGTTGTGTCCTTCACTTAGTCTAATTGAGTCTTTCCACTTATTTCACTTTTTATTATTTAGCTCCGTTATGCACACACCTCCTATATTATTACTCCATTTTAATATTTAAGCCCCACCCCCAGACTCTCAACCACCCCCAGCAAACACCACTCTCCAAGACACCTCTCCATTTCACGGACAACAAATTGTAGGCATATAGCCTACCTCATAATTTTATATTACCGGCCTCCTATTTAAAATTTAACCTCTATCCTGGTCACGGCACCAAATTGTAACGAATCCCCCCCCCCCATCTTTTTTCTTTTCTACTATATCCCACTTATAATTGTATTTCTTTAGAATCTATATCTGTAAGATATATAAATACATCTAATTTACATGACCAGTATAACTTGATCTTTCTAAAGGTTTAAATATAGGCCGTTTAATAAATTTATGGCGTGATCGTCTTAGTTAGGACCCTTTTTTTACGTTGTATTTGTATAGTAACTTAGTTCTTTTAGGTGTATCTTGGAAGAATGAATATTCACGAGAGCAATCGAAAGCTGTTGGTAGAGTCTTATAAGCTAAAGAACCCCGTTCACGAAGACAGAGCTCAAAAAGGTTAAGAACAATAAATTGTCCCTATTCCACTTGTATCTGGTTCACAACAGTCAATTCCTTATTAATTAATCCCTTCCCGCTTGGAAAAGGCTCACAATATTTATATCAAATACCAGTTACAAGGGCTTCGCTCTCCCACATTTTAAAAAAAAATGTGGAGGAGGTACACGGCCCCACACACGCCGCGCACGGTGAGCGCCAACCATTTTAATGCGCTCCCCCCGAAGGGTACGCAAAGTTGGGAACTGGACCGTAGTCCACAGCAAAATAACTGGCGAACCAGTAAAAGAGGACTTGGCCCCTTGATAGTGCGTAAGCACAAACATCGACCGAAGTCGCGCATCTCAATGCGTGTAAACGCCATACAGAATACGATCAAATCCAGCCACAGTGAAATGTACGTCACACGGGTTAGGCAACAATCGGCACACTGACCATAAAAAGCCCTCCGTGAGCGCCACCACCTGCCAGACCGCCGTTTCTGCAGACGTGATGTAAGTGTAAGGCATCACCACCAATTGCATGGTCAGCACGGCCAATTGGCCGCAGAGCGTGTCATGAGTCTACCGCTCACCTCAAGGGAATGGGGTCCCACGTTGCGCGGCTTTCGGCCGCAGCCTTGAGAGCTTCCTCAGATTCTCCCTCCAGCTACCACCCGCATGAGGTCAACACATATGCTCCACCAACCAATACAATGGCAGATATAGCCAATAGGCAGTTATAAGATAATATTAATAATTCGCCATCAGAAAGGGTTTGTGTCACTGACGTTGAGTATATGCATTTTTCGATCATGTTTGTCTCACCCACCAACAAGTTGCCTTCAATCTCTCAAAGGTGGGAACTTTATAGAGATATATTATTAAGTTGTTATATAAAACATCATGGAGGGCAGACAGTCTGCAGCCCCGCAATGAAGGGACCCGACTTGGGCAAAGCTATTTAGGTTGTGAGTCAAACCAAGACGCAGAGAGCGCCATTGAGAATAGCGACCCGCCAAACAACCATCGTAGAGACGCAATGCTACAGAATGCAACAAGCATCAATACGACTATCGTCGGGCTTACACCATCCCAAGGTCCCCCATACAGTCCCAGCAGACATCACCACCCGCATACCTCCATCGACCAGAACCACAAGATGCATCGAATCAGGTGCAGCACACCCGCAGATCCATCACAAGACACAATACTGCAAGTAGCAGTAAGCATCAATGCAACTATCATACGGATGGCGCCCCCTCACAACACACCCACATGATCCCTATCGACTTTGGTAACAAAATTTGATAATGTTGTTAACTAAAAATACCACCAACGTATCATAGTAGTACGGTACTAAGACGTCAGTAGCCAATACTCCACGTATCATAGCGCTATTGCACTAAGACATGAAGTTGAGTATGCTTGCTGCACTTAAAAGTACTACCAAACACACTCACCCTAATCCGAAAGATAGCCGACGTATCATAACGCTATGCGCTAAGACGCCGCCCACAAACGGTAGGGGTGTGCGATGTCCACGGGCAAGTCGTATTGCTACAACAAACCCGCTTACCACCGGCACTAAGATGATATGTCTAGGACACATCGGTTAGTGAGTCCAAGTTTACCTCGGTCTCAGAGGCTGCGAAGCAACCTACACGCCACTATAATAATCCTTTTTAAGTCCCATTTCTTTCAATATAATGCTTTTACATATTTGAGACCTTCCACATATTTGCTTTATTTCATAGACCATACTACTGTATGTCTTATTCATATGGGACTTCAAGTCATAACTCTGCTATCATAATGCTTATGCATCATAGAGACCTTCTATATTAATGCTTTGGTTCGTCAGACCTTACTATGTTAAGTCCCTAATATAGGACTAGTCATTGTGCAACCTTAGTACTAGCAGTCGGTCAGCCGACCACCCCATATATATGTACAACCTTGGGTATGTGTCTCCGACAACGCCCCAATATAAGGGAACATTACAAGAACACGTTCATTAACTTAGAAATTTTCCAATTATTACACGAACACCTTCATCAACTTAGAAAATTTTAATCCATTTTTTCTATTATATTACAAATGTTATTTATCTTTGTTATTGCAATATAATCGCCTTGTATTTATATGATTTGATACATTTTGAACATTTTAAGCAGGTTTTTAATAAATTAAGAGATTTTTAGAGACATTTTATGCGTTTACTAATATTATAATATTCAATATTCCAAATGGATATTTTTGAACTTTATGCTTATTATTTGTATTTTATTGTTTAAATTATAATTTCTAAGACATTTTTAAATGTCTGTATAATGAATTTAATTATTATTTATTAATAATAATTATGAGGCGTCACACTATGTAGAAAATTGGATAAATTTGTCTT